TTTAGATATTAATATTTAATAGTATAAAATTTCAATTTCCAAATATAATTAGTACCCATTATATATCTAAATTAAAAAAATATTTTATATTTTTTTAAAGAATAGCACTACAAGATCAAAGAATAGTAACATGATTGCAAGTTGAAACCTTTATGTGTGGCTTCCTGTGTTTGAATTTTTGTTGGTTCTTTGTGACTGGTGCTCCCAATGCATTGATGTGGAGTACGTCGTGCAACTAACAGTCCAAAAATGCTTTCATAATGATATTTATTGGCAGAACTCTTAAATAAATTAGATTTACTATTAGGAATGTTTACAATATAAATCAAATCAAATTTTAATATTTTTAAAATTAAATTAATTAATTAAATTAATTAATAATATTTTTAAATCAATTCAATTTACTATTATATTGTGATCAAAATAATCCAATTTGAATTGGATTTGTAAGATTTAGTCAAATTGGTCTATTTTTAACATTAGTTTAAATATGTTTGATCAGGTAAAAATTTTAAACATCAAATTGTAAAAAACAGAATTACAGAACATATTAATATTATATATAATAAAATGATAGTACTAACAAGATAATCAATACATATAAACCCAAGTTATTGTCACTCAAGAGGGTAGAGGATTTTAAAGGTAGAGTTTTTGTTTGTATAAATGACGGTTTAGAGCTACATCTTTTTTCAATTAAGGTACACACCCAGTAACCATGTTATTACATGGTTGTTGTTGATATGACAATATGGATGGAGTCGTCATCTTTCTAAATGAGATAGGATAAATCACTTAAATTTATTTAGAGTCAGAAGGTTGGTTAAGTATGAGAAGATGTTAGGGATCCCACAATTTCAATATAAAATATACTTACTACATATCTTAATTTTAGGTATTTTTAATTTATTCAAAGAGTTTAAATTTACCTTAATTCAAGGGAAATACTAAATTTTGCATTCCTACTTGAAGCTTTTACAAGGAAGGAAGTATTGAGCTTCTCATCCAATAGTTAAAAGACAATCAAGTATTCATTTAAGATATAGTAAATAAATCAAAAGTAATGATTTTCCTCATGGAGACAATACCGAACGTACCATACCAAATGAATACCCAAACAAATAATCAATATGAAGAAAAAAAAAAAAGTTCACGTCAGCCAACCAAATTCCTTAATAATTCAAATAAAATTTCATTGTCTTAAGCAAGTTTTGCCTAATTACTTTATCAACAATTTAAAAAAAAACAGAAACGTAATTAATCCCTTTCAAGACCAAACAAACTGCATCTCGATAACATGATTTAATAAAGAGCAAAAATTTAAAAAGTATATATATATGCTAAAAATAACAAGGGCATAACTTGGACCATCATATAAAGTACCGATAACTTCAACTATTCCAAAAAAATAAATTTCTCTGTCAGGGAAGCATGGAGAACATGAAGACTATCAAATCACTACATATCACTTGATACTCACAAAATCTGTATGAAATCCACAAAAAAGAAAATAAATAAAATAAAATGAAATGAAAGCATACAAAAGGAAGAATTTAAAACATGAACAACTCGATCAATATACTAATTCAGAAGCAAAAATTAAAATTCAACATAAGGTCAAGAGATTAGAAATTTGACAAACTAATATAGAATTAAAGGTGTACTAAAAAAAATAAAAAATATATATATATAGAATTAATGGGATATAACTATATTCAAAGGAGAAATGAATCAAGCACCTGTAGTTGAATGAAAAAGAATGCTCTGTTTTATTACCATATATCTCT